ACCAGGCACTCGTCATCATGCCCCACCTCCAGGCCTGGCTCCAGAGGGGGGCCCCGGTGACCCGCGTCCGGGCGAGGGAACGCCAATGTTTTTAACATCATAAGGGGTCTTCGGGCTGCGCTTTGTCTGGTTCCTCACCTAGGACCTGTCTGCCTTGGGTGACCCTACCAGGGGCATAAAGCCCCAGACAGCATAGCTCCTAGGATCATTGGGACACTCAAACACCACGATAAGGTAGCAGCCCAAGGAATCCAAACCAGATGGAAATAATGTGGACGAAAGAAAAAGTCCATCTGAGGAGGACTGAGTGTAAACCTCAGCGTCTCATTCCTGCTGTATGCAGACGATGTGGTTCTGTTTTCAGGTGTTCTGCTTACCAGAGACGACCCGATGGATCAGGGTTTCCTCTGCAGGGTGGGAGCTTCAGGGTTCATCCGGGATCCAGCAGAGAGGAGACCCTGGGTCAGAACCAGAACTCATTTGATGGAAAAAATAAAATATCCTTTCTGCTTTGGGCACACATGAATCCCCCAAGAAGAGCTGGCAGGGGTGGAGCCAGGGGTGGCCATGGCCACCACAGACAAATCTTCAGCCACCCTGCTGTACACACCCCTTCCACAGTGAAACAACCTTTAGGGGTGTAATAACCCTCCTGAACAGTTGGTGGCAGTGTTTAACAGTTTGAAACATCACTGAAACTAGTTTAATGAAGAATCTGTCTCTGAAATTATTATTAAATCAAGTGCTTATTTATGTAGGTAAAAGTATGTTGAATAAACTGGTAAGAATGCAGGAAATCGCATCTATTTCATTCTAAATTTTCTGGGGGAGGACCCCCAGACCCCCCAACAGTGTGTCCCCACGCTTTTAAAATGGTTCTGACGCCCATGTTTATGAGGTAGTCACTGCCTGTATAAGAACATAAGAAATAAAAACACAAAGATCTGCAGAAACTTTCAAGGAAAAAAATGATGTCATTTTCCTGGCCACCCCTGTGTGAGTAGTGGCCCCCTGAGAAAAATGTCTGGCTCCGCCACTGGGAGCTGGAGGGAGAAACTCTTGGTTTTCAGTTAACTGCTGGGTTAACGTTGGGTCAAAGGTCGGGTTTGATCAGATATTGGGTCAGAAGGTTAAACAGGTTTGTTGGGTCAGTGATGCTTAAAGGTCCTTCATGTCTGTCATCACCTGACAAACACCTGTGACCCTCAGGAAAGACAGCTGAGCAYCAGGGGGTGAAAAGCAGTTAAAAAACAATGAAAAAGAAGAGAGCTGTTCATTTCTACACGAATTGATCAGAACCTGCTCGTGGCTGCAGATYATAGTTTCTGAGGTTTTATTGAAAGAAAGGAGGACAACAAACTTATTTGTCAACAAGAGATGATATTTCTGCATAAAAATAACAAAAAAATAAATAAATCTTTGGACCTTTAAAACAGACTTCCTGCCTCACCTTCCTGTCTGCATTTACAGACAACAAACAGGAAACAAAGCACAGTTCAAGCTTCAGTTTCTACATAAAATAAATTAAGGTTATGTCGCCCCCTGGTGGGGGTTGTTAGTGTAACAAATTATTTTAAACCAATGGCAGAGGCAGAGAGGGTGGAATTGTTAGGAGGGGGTTTTAACCCCCACAATAATTTGATCTATTCAACCCACCCCAAAATAAAAGACATAATTTGCTCTAACACAATAGAAAACACAGCTGCAACTCTTGTTGTCTTCAAGTAACTTTGACCTTATTGCAAAGTTTACCATGTCATATAAGTACGTTTAAGCACGACTGCTGAAAACGGCACGCAGGTTTTAGTCTGCTCTTGGAAAATTGAGAAATTTATTGTGCATCACCAAAAAGTCAATTATTTATTAGTGTTGGAAAATGGAGGAAAGAAGCACCTTTTCTTAACTGATGTTGAACAGAAAAGTTGCAGATGAAATACAAAGAAAACAAAAAACAAGTAAATCATAGTAAAGGCATTAAAATGTGTTTTTAACCCTAAAATATCCTGAATAGTTTAACAAATGTAAATGATTCAATGATGAACTTGGTAGAGAACATAAAACCCAGCAGTGGTAGACCTGAAGTTAAACCCTCGCTGAGACCACTGCTCATAC